TCCTCTTTCCAGTTCCCTTTCGTGCTTTCATCTACCTTTTGAGATGAAAGGTGTTCTGAAGTTTAATCAACTTCTATTGTTGAAGAACAGATTCCTCGTGCTACTTACGAGGGAGATAAAAGAGAGAGTAAAATTTAAATTGATTTATGAATATAAAATTTAAGATAAAAAATGTGGATTATGCAATATAAGATGCAAAAAATTGTTTTATCAGGTTTAGAACTGTGAATCATATTGATAAGTACACTTAATTTCAAAAATTTATAATTTTATCACAAGATATAAATTACTTTATAACTTATAAGGTATATTATAAACGGCTTCTCTCTCTCTCTCTCTCTCTCTCTCTCTCTTTCTTTCTCTCATAAATTTATAATAACTTTCTATCGATATTTTGAAAAGAATTTATACATATAATTCAGTTCTGACGATCCTGAAGGCATCTTTGATAATGATACCTTTTCCCACCAGGGTTATTGCAATCGCCGACTGTTAGCGAACGCAAGGGTTGTACCTATTTCATCACCACTCGTTCTCGTACCCTCATGGCACGAAACTAGCAGTTTCTGACATCTCTTATGCCTAAATTGTCTGGCAGACGTGAAGAGCACGTGGTTCTCAAAGGGAGGCGGGCTTTGTTAAGGCTACGCCCAACGAGACTCCCACTACGGATCCTTATATTCCTTGCGCAAGGAATATCTCTACCAGAGTTCCCCACTCTCGTTTACTCTTCCGTTTTGTCTCCCTCCCATCCTCGAGCGTGCTCACCCGGTCCCTCTACCTTTTTTCTTCTCCTTTTTTCATTCAGCTCTTCCCTCACTACGGCCCAAGTAGTTTTCTCCTTTTCTCGTCCGCCGTGCGTCGTCGGTCACCTCTCTTTCGTTGGGAATGCGTGAATCGAAAGGCGGAGGTGTGCACGCGCGCGCGTATGTGTGGGAACTCATCGCGGAATGCGGGACAGCGTAGCTATGGAACTACTAGCGGGGCTTTTTTTCTCTACCTTGATTTCTGGAGGATTCTAACGTAATGTCGTCCATGTCGAAAATTTGTTCATTCTCCACAGGATTTTTATTGCATAAGAAAGAGATTCGTTCAATACAATACGCGTATATCGATTGGTCTGATTCAGGAA